GCTCGTTTGTCTCCCTTGGTGGCCATAGACCTGGCTTGGGGAGTGATACTCGCTCGCCGAGGCTCGACCAAAGGCCCGTAACTCGTGCACCTGACTGAGTGAGGCAAGATAACTTTGTAGTGTCACTTGGGGAAAGAGAGAGAGCTGAAAGTTTAAACAACGAATGTCTTGGAACTTTTCCCAGAATATAAGGATGTTTTGCTTCTTTCTGTAGCGCTTATAATTTTCCTATTTGTTAATTTGTTTTCAAGACAACGTCTGTGCTTGGCCATGAAAATTTAAAGTTTTAACTTAATAGTCACTTCAATCGACTGATGCGTTCTTAAAACGCAGTGTGCTTTGGGAACTTTATGCTTTCAATTAGTGCCGGTATTGAATTTGCTTTTCGCATATAGTTCAGTTATATCGATAATTATTCTTAATTGCTTGTAAATGATGTCAGAGATCTTTTAATCGTAAGTACATGTATTTCAATCTGCTTCTCATAGTTTTACAGAAAACCTCTCTAGAAATGCCTAACTTCCAGATATTCGTGGTAACCTTTACTTTGAGTACCCACAAGGACGAGAAACTCTCACAAGACTTGAGAGTGCCATGGTTGGTCAGCTTGTGAAGGCTTTTGACCTATATAATACACCAGTACCTTTAATTCAAAGCAATACCATCCAGCTTTTCCCTTGGTCCAAGCCGTTGTGTGGTTCCTGTCAAGATTAGAAAAGCTTACCCCTCTGGACACATGGGCAGTATTTCTGTCACTCACCTCTGTGGGCTTTTTTTTTTCTTTCATTATAAGAAGTGGCTGATAAGATTTTGAGAATGCTAAGGATGCGATGGTTTCTTTCTGGCAGCCATTTCTTTTGTATCCGTTTACCTATTAAACGAGCAATGTGCTTTGCTTTTTCTTCTACCATTTTCTTCAAGTTCACTGCAATGAAAAAATGAGGAAGACTTACAAAGTGAGAGAAATATATGGAAAAAATCAAGAAAAGATTAAATAGAAACATGTAATACCGAACATTCAGGATTTATTTGAAAGTACATGTATAAAATTCTTATAAAAGATACATGACCTTGTTCAGTTTAGCCTCTCCCTTTTTCACTTAAATCTCCCCCCCCCCCCCCCCCCCATTTTCATCTTCATTCTGCCACCGAGTTAAGGGCGAAACACCATCCTTACTCGTATGTATAAAACAAAGTAGTAAAGATAACAATATCATGGCAATATAAAACAGGTGGTGCACAGTAGTGCTCTCCCGGGGAAAGCGAAGACCTTAAGCTCGCGGTCTTTAGGGGCAATTCCACGATAACGGTGCATGAATTTTCCAGGATAGAGGGCGTTGGCCGCTCTCGCCATGACTTCGGGGGCGCGTATTGACTGCATGTTGTTTTCTATTAATGTTCTCAAGGGGAAAGCGTGCCGGGAATTTCTGCTTTACTGGAGATTTCCACAGACATAATGGTAATTCGACTCTTGTAACAGCACCTTCATTGTTAGTCTATTTCGCTGCCACAGAACTAAATAAATGAGTGAATGAATGAATGGAACATTTTGGAAATCACCTCCACCAAAAGATAATTGTTATGGCATTCAAAGCCAAGCGATGTGTTAGAACAATTTTCTGTTCACCTTTTCATTTATTTTACTATACTTTTGTCACAGAGCTATTACATTTAAAAAAAAAAAAGGTTTTGGCTCAGTTGGTTTGTTTATTTGTTTTCTTTAATCGTTAAGAGGGATTGTTGGGTTGAATTTATAAGGACCCTAAACTTTATAACTTTATGTCTCAGCAAAGTGCCAACGTACCTTTCAATGCTGGGTGCTTTTTTCTTCAGCATTTGAGTTATTATTGCGACCATGTCCTTGCTTTAGCATGAAATAAACGATTGATTAATCGTATTTTGATTTCAATCAGACTTAAAGGAATCTGAAATCGTTTCTTGTCGACGAAATTGACAAAACGAAACAAATGCCGTCTTTGATTACCGTTCTCCCAGGGGATAGTATTCCTTATCTGCTATCGCCTTCTGCTGCGGGTGATTAATTACTCCAGTTGGGAAGGTTGCAGTCGATACGATCCGTCCATGACGGTGTGAGCAGTTTCTGCTCTTGAGTGGTCTTTGGGGGATGGGCTGGACAGAGAGAGAGAGAGAGAGAGAGAGAGAGAGAGAGAGAGAGAGAGAGAGAGACAGAGGAGGAGGAGGGGGTGTGCAGACTGTTGCTCATTTATTGGTCGGCTGAGTTTTAGTGGAGCATGAATGTCTTCTGAAAGCTGTCGAAGAAAATGAGGTGCTGGTTATAATAATATCGTACGAACGATTGAAATACAATTATACAGAAACAAATGGAGAGGAAATCAGAGGATGGAGGGGAGCATGAGGAGAGAAGGGGGGAGGGACAAAAGGGAGAGTTAGAGAGAGAGAGAGAGAGAGAGAGAGAGAGAGAGAGAGAGAGAGAGAGAGAGAGAGAAGAGCTGCTAGAGAGTGTGTGTCTGACAGATAGACAAACAGACAGACAGACAGACAGACAGAAGAAGAAGAGATGGTAAGGGGGCATCCGAATATGTAGGTCAGTTCGTTGAAGGCTTTCGATGCAAAGTTATACTTAATTCTATCACACTCTTTATCGAGCTTGCAACTCAACCCACTTTGAACAAATTACTATGTAATCTGTAAGCGAGGGTATGACAAGCAATGAGCTGTGTTTTCACCAATGACAGATGCCACCGCCACTACCACAGCCACCTCATCTAATTCGTAGCTCTCCATCAGACTTCAGTCTCTTCTGGCAGTCTGGTCAGTCTCACAGATAACGCATGACACTTTAATGTTCAGTGTCGGAGCCAAGGATAGGTCCCGTGGGGGGACGCATGCTTGTACTCACTTGTCGGTCTGTGGTGATACAGGATTGGCGCTTCTTCTGAGGATGACACGGGTTGATTCGTTATTATTTTTAGAAATGTTTCTAACATTATGGCGCCGACAAAGACGTACAGGTGATAGAACGTCTCAGTTTTCTTGTAGAGGAAACAACAGCACCGGACTTTCTGCCAAGACGTCGTATCCCTTTCAGTAATGGTTGGTTCTGACCAGGCTGAGAAGATGCTCGCCTCCGAAATGATCTAAATTGTGTTGATTGGGGGGTAAAAAACTTCTATTAGAATTAAAAAATGAGTAACAACAGTTGAACAACAATATAAATTTGTTAATACGTGCCACTTTCGTGTCTAATGTCCCTTCCACCAAAATGACCAAATCGCCCACTTATGGGCGATACCTCTCAGGGTGGCAAGCATTGACTTCGACAAATAAACAAATGAAAAAAAAAACAATGACTATAAAATACTGAACGCTTATAGTGCGGTCAAAAATGCATGGAGCAATGTATTGTCAAATATCTCTGTAACTATCGAACATAGATTCTACAAATTTTTGCACTATGACTTATGTCAATTTGTCTTATAACAGGTGAATATTATTTTTCAAACTCCTGCAAACTGTATTCTAAAAAAATTCCTGAATAAATATTAATTTTAAAAATCCCTGTCGATGGTTTCTACAGATTTTTAAAAGTTTACAGCTCGGGCAATATTGCTTTTAAAATTGAAAGCAAGTCTGTCATTCTTTTCTAATTGCAACGTTATGTTTATTGAACGTATGTTTAGAGAACCTGTCGTGCACAAAAAATGTGTTCGTTATCAATTTTTTAATTTCTATGAGAAGTTTTGCCACTGAAAAGTGTCATTCGCAAGCTGAGAGCTAGGCCATATTATGCGTATGCAAAATGTGTGCAAGAAGCGAGAAGAGCTGTGAACAATCCCAGTTTCCGCGTGATGGAGATTTATTGTATTTCATAAACATTTATGAGGAAAAGTTTTTTAATCGAGATCAGTTGTTGTGGAAAAATATGATTAAGTTAAGACAAATCGATACAAATTGATATGCAAAGTATGGGTGACATTGATTCCCCTGTTAAAGAGATATTTGAGGACAAGTTGCGTAACGCATTTTTGACCCGCACTATACATAGTGCATAGCTGAGCAGCGTTCTGGAACCCCCGATTTTCTAGCGTTTACAAAGCAGCTAAAAGACATTTATGTTTGTTTGGGTTTTTCTTTAGTTTTGCTTTTGTATTTTGTTTTTTTTTATGGGAAACCGGGAAGGGGGGGGGCGGGCTGTCGATCATATCCAGTAAAGTGTTAAGGATTTTAGCTATCCTCTTTCTCACGCGCCTGCGCGCTTTGTCATCATTATTCGATCAGATGAGATAAGATTTTGTCCTGATGATCGATGGCGAGCGGCGACCCCACTCTCATAACTCAAAATTGAAACCTGGGGTTGGCACTGCATTATCGGTGCAGTTATAATGTTGCTGTTGTTTTCTTTGAGACGTAATCGTTCACACGACACAATAGCAGAATGGCTTGGTTACACGACGGGTTTCTTTTTGGTGTCTGTCTGAAGCACGCGTACGTGTGGTGTGTGTATTTCATAGTTATTCCTACTGTCAAAAATACGTGGTGCAGCTTATCCTCACATATCTCTTTAATGGGTGATTTAATCCCCCCCCCCCCATACTTTGCACAGCGGTTTGTATCAATTTGTCCTAACTTAATCATATTTTCCCACAGCATTTTTTAGGCTAGATTAAAAATTTTTACTTCATAAATTTGTATAAAGTACTATAAATCTCAGTTATCTGAAAAATTAGATTGCTCACAGCACTTCCTGCTTCGCACACACATTTTGCATGCGCATATGGCCAACGTCACAACTCACCAATGACAATTTTTCTTGACACAACTTTTTGCAAGAAATTGATTTTAAAGTGAACCCTGTTTTTGCACTTAAGGTTCTCAAAACGTGCGTTCTACAAATTCTAGAACATAGCTGTCAGGTGTTTACGAAAATATCGATCTGTTAAGACAAATTGGTACAAGTCATTGCAAAAGCTGGAGAGTCTATGTTCAATAGTTGAAGAAATTTGACAAGCTACGTCACGAATTTTTGACGGCACTGTAGTGTTGTAATTGGCTTGATAGGAGCTGGCGTCTCTTTCAAATATATGGGTTGTTTAAGACTTGTAACCAAAAAAAGTGGGTGGTTAGCTGGTGCTCTGGTATGGTTTGGTGTATGAAACATCTGTCGTTTTTATTTTTTATTTGTGTTATCCTCAGCACTTGTGTGACCTGTATGTGCTGCAAATGTCGTAAAACTCCAACTGCATTTAAAAAATAAAACTAAACCGTGTTGTCTTCTTATTTCTTTCCAGGGGACACGTCTTTCGCCTCCCAGCGTGGCTTCAACGCCGCCCACAACAACCTAAGCCTCAGCGGGAACACAGGCCTCAGCAAACCCGTCAACCTAAGCGGGCACAGCAACAACAGCAACGCCAACACCAGCGCACGTCTCGGCAGCGGACGCAGCCCACACAAAAGCGTACATTTCCAGAACATTCGACCCGACCCTCTGAGCTTCGGCTCATTCCTGTCGCCCATGACATCCCCGCCAGGTTCATCGGGGCGTCCGCCGCTTCCCCCACATCACGGGGCTTCGAAATCCGGAGGCCTCAGCATGCCCCCCTCGTCTACATCGAGGTTCGCGCCAAACTTGCTTTCTGACGACGATGGAAGTTACGTGAAACTTTCAAACAACAACAGCAACGCAATCAGAAATAGTGGGCGGCGCTCTAATCCGTCCAATCAGGAGCTGGAACGTCATAGAAATCGAATGCTGTCCGACAATCTGTTACCCAATCCTGGAAGTCAACTCATGGGTGCGTCCAATCGTGACGAGGAATACATGGACATGAACAGTGCTCGTTCCTTCGCGTCACAGCGCTCAAATTCAAACTCGTGTATTGATAGTGCGGACAGGTGGGACGGGGACACTACCACTTCCGGTAGCTATACCGTCGACCCCCAGGAACTCTGTGACGAAATTGACAAGCTGTTTTTCGACGAAGTGAAGGATGTTGTTGTGTAGATGACATTATAAAATTTTAGTACCAGACACTGAGAAGCACAGCCAGCGCCTGTGGTGTAGCGGTTAAGCGCTTCTCCGTCGTACGCAGGAGACCCAAGTTCGATTCCCGTTTAGGGAAAATTGTTTCATCGAGTATGTCGGTCTTTCTGCTCTGACGTTGTTTCCCTCTCAGCCTGGGTCGAGGCCTGCCTCCTTAAAGATCTGAATTGTGTCGATGGGGGGGGAAAAAACACCATATATTCAAAGAAAGACGGGAGTTTTATTCTCAGGTGGGGACGTTTTTCATCGAGTTTCTCCGTACGTTTGCCGGATTGTGCCTCAGTTTCTGTTACAAGAAAGCAACAGCACCGGTGCCTGTTGTGTAACGGTTAGGCGTTTCCCCATCACACTCTAAAGACATGATTATGATTTTCCGTACGGGGAAATTAATTTGACCGGACAACTCGCTCGTTCTTCTTGGAAGTTATATCCCATTTAGCTCGGGTTGGCCCTGACAGGCAGGAACAAAGCTGCAAGCCTCCCAAGGTGTGTTGATAGGGGCATGAAAAATTTGCAGTCGCAATAAGACTCCAGAGCCACACGTTGCTCCAGCTTAAACGATACGTTGATGGAAAATAAAAGCTGAGAGATGCGAGACTTGTCTACTTGAGCGGATTTTTGGTGCCAGAATAGTGTCAGACGCTTTGCTGTGAAATCAGAGAGACATACATGCCACATTACTTGAATAGAATTCATGCGTTTCCCAACGTCTTTAGCAGAGGGCTCCTATTACGCCCTTCTTTGAAAAAAATCTCACAAACGTACCAGATGAGGTGGACTAATTGCTTATCCATGAGCTCCAGTGGTAGTGAGCGGGCCACTGGTAGATTTTAGCTCTTTTCCTTCCCTCTGTTGTTTCTATGTGTCTATCTTACTTTTACCCTACTTTAATTGTGCTGATGTGTATTTGTTTACTCAAACAAACAAACAAACAAGCAAGCAAACAAACAAACAAACAAAAACAAACAGGCAAACAGCTTTCTTTTGCGCCCACGATTTTTCAAATACAAGATAAACAAAAAAGAACCTGATATCTATTTACCTACCCACCTAACTATCTACCTATCTCATTACTCTCCTTTTTTCTAGCTGCTAACATGACTCTGTCTTTCATTCTGTATGCTCATTGCACCTGTCTATCTGTCTTAATCCTATTAAGGACACTTTAACTTTTGTTCTCGTGCAAAAAAAGACTACAAACAAACAAAACAATTGTATGATTCTGCGATACGTACTGATCAACGATGTTTCAGTTATCTTCTTTTGTGCACTCCCAATGCCCGTCTGGAGTTATATTTCCATTACTGTCTGCTTAATCGAGCACACAGGGCATAAATAGTTTTCATGTTTCTGCCTTCCCCCTGAACCAAGGGAAATAGCCCAAGGTTTAGATTTCAAGAACAACAACAACATTGGCTTTAAAGCTTTTCAATTCTCTGGAAGTTAATCCTTTGAAAGAATGTGCAGGTGACACCCTG